TGGATCTTTAGAGAATATCAAATCAGTTTCATTTAAATAGATGATTATACCTCCTGCTTACTCTATTTGATATTGGATTTCATCCAATAGTAAAGAAGTTTTAATAAGTCTATCAATGATTGTGCTTATTTGTTCCAAGACTTCCATGTAAATGTTTATATAACCCACAGTTCCTTCACCTTGTACCCCAGGAAACTGATTGCAAAAAACCAAGTTAAAATGAAAGACAAGATTGAAATTTCTGATGTAGTTACAGATGGGATGACACAAACTAAACCTAATCAGGCCTGGACTCTCGACTGGTTCGGTGAAAGCCTTTTAGAGAGACTCAGCTATTGGGCAATATAAGAATGAATGAATGAATGAATGAATGAATGAATGAAATAAAGTATAATGATTCCCCACACAAGTCTGGCTAGATAAACTGACTAGTTTGGGCAGAGGCTTGCAAAGGGGACTACTTTGGGGGGGGGGGGGGGGGGGCTTTCACCCAAACCTGCTCTCTCTGAGATTCACTTTGGAAAACTTGCCAATGAGTCCACCCAACAGAGCTTTCAAAATTCAGACAGATGGCATTTAGACACCACCTATGCATGGAAAAATATTAGGATATTTGGATTCCTTTGCTACAGTTTATGCATCATTATTCACATTGTAGTACATCTGTTACATGCATATAATAAATATGGGCATACATTTCACATCTATTTACTGTAATTGATACATTCAAAATTCATGTAATGAGAACTGCTTTTATTTCCCTCTCCACACCCACCTTTATTTATGATTTTTGTTATAGTTTTCTAAAGCTAATGAAAATATAAGAGAAAAAACCCCTCTCCTTAGTGTTGGCTCATTACCAGTTGTAGAGTTCAACTCCAGTCAAGGTCAATTTCATTTCAGTTCTTCAAACAGGCTGTAAAGACTTACCTACTTATTTTGGCCTATTACTCCAATCAGGCCTGTATTAGGTACGGTACTGCGCATGGTTATTCCGGCATGTAAGTCGTCCTGAACAAAGATACAACAATTTACACAATTTCTAATCTCAGTGATTCATAGAGAAGCAGTTAACACTTGCAGTGACAGAATAAACGGAAGACTATACAAAGTCAGGTTGCTTCCGTGTAGCGGTCGTTCTGAGTGGTCACCTGTGCATTCAGAAACCTCCTGACAGCAGGCTCTGCAAATACCACTGAGACTGCTGGCAGGTGCCAGGGCCAAGGGAGGAGTGATGTGCCACCCTGGTCCAGCCCCGTGTGCTCCTGTCAGAGGGGGGCTTGCGGCTTCGGTTTGACACCCAGTGGGGTTGGTGGGCAGGTTGTGGGCGCACACCAATGACCATTGGAAAAGCAACAGTTACAGGCAAGCAACCTGACTTTCTTCACTGTCTCTGTGCATCGTGCATGTGGGTGACTAGCAAGCTTACCTTGAAGAGGATGGAAGGATGGTGTCATCTTTGGAGGATCAAGGATTGCTCTGCTGAAGGAGCAGTCCCAATAGGGTTGGGATAGGGCCTTATTTCTTATGGTACCAAATGGGGGGAGGGTGCAACTCAATCTGTTAGCCTCTCTCCTTTATGGACAGAACCCATAAGTCTGATGTTATTGCTTCCCGTACTGGAAGAAATAGCGAAATCCATCAGAATGGGGGGGGGGGGGCAGGTGGGGACTGTCAGCGATGCTGCCTTTCTCCCTCTGGGCACTGGGCGGTTGACTGAGGCCTAGAAGGGTGCTTGCTCCAACCCCTGCACTGGTATGGGAGAGGGTAAGAGGCCCTGAACCACTGGCTGGGCTGCTAGTAGCTGGAAGCCCATCTATCCTCTCTGTTGTCCTGGTTTTTGGTAGAGTCCAAGTGCTTGGAGTTGAACAGGCCCTTCCTGTTGAAGCACAGGTCCTTGATGCCAGAGGGGGTCTCCTGTGGCAGCCCTATGGATTGAAGCCAGATGCTGGGTGGGCTGGAAGCCTGGGAAGAGAGTCCCTTAGGTGTTGGTGGGGCAGAGTGATCCCTGGTCAAGGCTTTTGCTGTGGCCTGGGATGTGTCCCCACTGCCTAGGTCAGGGGTCGGCAACCCGAGGCTCCAGAGCCGCACGTGGCTCTTGAATCCCTCTGCTCTCAAAACACACGCCAACACAGCTGCCCATCTGTGATCCAGGCTGGTTAAGTAAATTGCTACATTCCTCTGCTATTGTGCAGGGAAAGAGTGGAACAAGCTTCCTACAGGCCCTCATGTTACTCAAACCCTGCTGAAAAGATTCTCTTTGTCCAAATGTAATCTTCGTATGAATGTTAAAAGCTGCACTTGGGACCGGTCACAATTCACAGCACTTGACTGTTTATCTGCTAATCAGTCACTAAACACACTAAACGACCCCCGCAGATTTACTGAGCTCCCCCTGCCGCCGCCCCCCCCCCTTAGGCCAACCATGGATAAATTGAAGAAAAGTTTCTGAAGAAAACCAAACATTTAATGAGAAGTGGGTAGATTCATTTGCTTTTGCTGCTGATGAACTTATGGGGTTTGCTGTTTAATGCATGCAGCCCTTTAGCACTGACTTTGACTCTGCAGGAAGCTGTTCTCCTATTCAAAATATATGAAAGGAGCCCTACTAGTTTATAATGTAAGATTAAAGATAACAGTTTTTAGTGACTGAACAAGAGCTGCAGCTAAATCTTAATGAAGATATAGATCTATTTCCTTGTTGTTGTTTTTTAGGAGTTCAAAATGTTTTCGTTGCAATGTTTTTGTTGCATGCAGAAATAAAAATTCTGTATGAACTCTGTAGCAGTTCATCGATTTCATAAATGCAACATACTATTTTTTTTTTATACATAGCATAAAGGTAAAAAACAATATATGCAGTATTATCTTCATTTAAGATGTCAAAAGGGTTTTGCAGCTCCCAGTGTTTTGTGTGGGAAACGGGTCCAAATGGCTCTGAGTGTTAAAGGTTGCCGACCCCTGGCCTAGGTGGATGACTGGTCATGCCCCACTTGCTTGGCGTTAGCAGCTCAAGATCAACTTAGTTGATGTGCCCTATTTTCCCAGGCCTGGCAGTGTGAGCAGGCATCACAATTTGTCCCTTGCACAAGCAGAAGATGAGGGAGCACCCATCTGTGTGTGGGAGTTTATTCCCCCAGTGGACACACTTTCTAAAAGTGTGCCTTTCAGAATATTACAGTATTTGGGGAAGGTTAAAGATTAAGCAAGAAATAGGGTATTGAGAGAGGTCACGAGTAGAAAAAGAAGTGGGGATAAATTCTATATAGAGAGACAATGGGTGAAAAAGAGATTCATAGGGAAATCTAGATGGTATAAGCTAGAAAAAAGCAGATTAGAAAACGGCAAATATACCTAGTAAAAAATGGAGATACTCACGTTTGTAGAGAAGTGCTTCCCAATCTAGGCACAAAGGTGGTCAGAAAGGAACTGAGGGAATAGTTGGGAGCCCTCCTGTATGTGCTAGAAACGGGAAGGGGAGGGGCTCCTCTCCAAATACATGCTTAGTTATAGAATCTTCCCAACAACAGGCTCCATGCAGACACAGAGTCCCATAAGTGTGATGCACAGGGGTCCCAAACAGCAACTCAAAGCCTTACAGGTTTAGACATCTGGTGTTTAACAAATTTAACAATCTCCCCCACCACCCCGCATGTTGGGCACAGACTAAAATAAAAGCCATTTTGTATGAATATTTGTATGGAAATGCTCTGATTGGACCAAAGTGAAATCTGCTTTGTTCAAGAAACAAAGTAGGTCTTTTATCTACCAGCAAATCACTTGAGGGAGATAAATAGCTTTATGGAACGTGCATAGACACAGGATTCTGGAAATCGAACACTGATGTCACATGTTTACAAGAGAATTTTACAATTACAGTAAGTCTAACTGCTGCCACTGAAATGGGAATTAATATAAAATTAAGGCTCTTTTCTTTGATCTTTCTCTCACTGATTCATTTTTAAAACATTTAAATTTAAACTAAGTTAAATCCAGTTGAAATAGATTAACAGGTAGGTCTATTACCCTTCTGTTGAGAAGAATAAGTATCTGACTATATTTTCACGTGAGAAATTATAGTTATCGTTCATGCATGCGATTTTCAACTTTTATTGAATGACATCAGTTTGATGTAACCTGCCTTATTTTCATAAATCATCCTGTTATCAGGCTAATAACTCTTCAACTCAATACCTGAAGGAAAAATCAATAAACGAGCGATTGCTACAAGGCTTTGCCAGCACCTTTTATATTTTGCTTACAAATACAGTGCACTATTTGCACTAGGCAATGTAGCACTCACCTGCAAAAAAGACCATCCCCTTTCTGGCTTGGGGAATGGGAAACAGGTGGTGGCCAAGAGCAGTTTACAAGAGAACTAAAATATGATCGTCACTTGGTCCATCCACCCAACGTGTTCCCAGCAATGCCATTTTGCTGAATATTCAGTGAAACATGGCATGAAAAGTCTTCTGAAGTCATGGTTAACTGTTGTTGTTGTTACATATGGAGTAAGAATAGCAAGAAACTAGAGGTGGAGGAAATAAAATATTTCTGGTATGGAAGACAGTTCAACTTCACCTTTATTTTGCAATAATGTTGAGAAATTATAGGGAAAGGTTGCTGTCTCCAAAAGCTCTTATAACACATACTTCTGAATTGAATCCAGAGCAAAATGCAGCTAATTCAAGCTTTCTTGGTTTCAGGGGACATGCATTCTTCCAAGACACCATCCACATCCTTTAACAAATGACAAATCACTTTAGAAACCCAAAAGGTTTCAAAAGCACATTGTGATATCGTGTGAGAGTCTACTGCTCAAAGTAAACAACAACAAACCACATACACCTAACCCTTTGCCCTAAAGCATCTCTTTGGAGCTGTAAAATTGGTTGGCAGATAATGATGTGTGATTGCTGGTTGGCCAAGCAGATCAAGAGGTCTTGGCTGAAAGCTCATGTACTCTGACCAGTCACAAATATAGAAATGAGAACAAACTGTATTATCTTATCTATAAAGTATTTATTTTCTTAATTTAAACAAACAGTTTTTTCAAGGATGGTTTCCATCTATAAAATGAACAAAGTACAAGCTCTGTACAGCAGATTTTAGAGAACCAACTGAAATGACAGTTGCAAAATTATATTTAATTTTCAAAATGAAATTCACATGTACCATCATTATTTTTGCTTTAAAGATGCTAAGGTTAGGTTAGAACAGAAATGACTTTGCAATTTTTTTCCAAGTCTCCAGTCAATTTAGTATAAAATGGGGGTGGGGGCATGGGTTTGGCTGTTTCTTATACCTAAGCCATTGAGTGCCACTGCTTATCCTTAATTTCCACATTTTTGTACAGAGCTCCTTAGTATGCTCACTTACAAGAGGATGTGTGCAAGAGCGGTGCTTCATGAACTGCATCCAAAATCCATAAAGTATAAAAAAAGATGAAGTCACAGTAAATTACTTTGGCACACTGTGTCATGTAAACATAGCTAACATCACATTACCATATTCCTGTTTTGATCCAGAGACCATAAAATACCATCACCCACTGCTTACAGTCTCAATACGGAGATCCTTTCTGCATAGCATCTCTACAATGGGAGGAGGGAGACAACCCACCATATTCCCGTTTTACAATACACAGCTAACATTTAAGACTTTCTGGAGTGGGGAGACATTAGGAAACTTGTTTAGGTAATAGCCTTCCAGAATTCCAGCAGCTGGTGTGCCTGCTAATTTCTGAATCACAAGAAAAATATATTTAGCCAGATTTTTCCCTGGGAAGTTCTCTCCCCTGAAACATTGGATTATCACCAATGCTCTAGTTAGACATTCAATGCTTATGGCCCCCAATATTAAAGAGAGCAAAGAATTGTTGTCTTCATCTCAAGCTTTGGTTTACTAAAAAGAAAATGAAGCCTGAAGAATACAACCTTTCTCTATTTTTTTGCCGTCAAGGTCATATTTTGAAAAGCAATACATGGGAGCTTTTAGCAAGGTGGGGGACATCTGGATTGGATAAGGAGGATATCCACACACACACACCCTAGCCAAAGAAAGTTTTGTAGGTTCAAACCATCTAATGTTCATACAACATGTCAAAACAGTATCTGCATAGAGCACAAGCATGCCATAGAAGTCCCAATGTTCAATGGCCCATTTGAAGCAAGGTTCTGCAAAGCTAAAGTCTTTCATATGCATGGAAAGATGACCACCCTTTGTGGCAAATGCTGCAGCTATCAAGAAAAAGTTTATCAAATACTCTCAGACCTATACAGCCAGGAAAGAACACTGCCAGGACATGATTGCATAATAATCTGTCTTTGTCCTTTCATAATCACCAGAGGGTATCTTTCATTTTACTTTCTAAAACCTTACATAAGCTGTGTGTGTGTTTAAAAAGTCTATGTAGGGGGAAAAAAGCAGTCAAAGATATCAGCCTTTCCTGACTGAAATGACTGTTTCTAATGCACTATTTGCACACAGATTAATTTCCTATATCCCAGTTTGAAACACTAGTTATAGGACAAAGAAAAAACCCAATCTATGATACCCCAAGATCAGGTATATAACAGTGGCAATGCTTATATTTAGTAGCTGACTGCTCATGCTTCCATGAAAAGGCTACTGCGGTCTTGTGCTATTTGTCATTCTGACAACTTTTCCAAAGGAGAAAGAGAAGCGTACTGAAGAACACAACCTAAAGACTAAGTTCTCATAGCTGCATTATTTTCTTAAAGACCAAGCTATTTTTTTTAGAGACAAAGTAGTCTAGAATTGCCCAACACAAATACCAAGTTTACAGATATCCAGAGCACATGGCATGATTTCCCCGACTGGAGGTGACAATGCTGGTGAGATGAAGCGTGCGAGCCTCTTTCTGCCATTTCATCACCCTCTACGGAGGTCCAATGTTTCTCAAGACGATGAGTGCAAAGAAGTAGGCACACTGTAGAAAGCAGAAGCATCCAGTGTTTGCATGAACACGACTCAGCAGCATAAACCTGCTTCTTCACAAAATGTTGTTCTTCTACAACTGTCCAATCCACTTTCCAGTAAAGTGTTAAAATGCTTTGTTGATAAATTACAGGATGAAAAATTGATAGAAAGTTGCAAATTTGGACAATATATATTTTATATATTTATATATATAATGTTTATATTTTAGAGTCCTGTCATAGAAAAGTCCATGGTCAAATATACCAAGTACACATGGCAAAACCTTCAAAATGATGCTTCGATTTCTCAAATCCACAAACACCAATTTCTATGTAAATGGAGGTTGCCAATGATCTTCTCCAAGCAATTTACTCCTTCCCAACTATTCCCCTCCCCTCCCTCCCCTCCCTGTTGTGTTGAAAGCAGTTTTCTATTGTACATCTGTTGTTTCTAGGATCGTTAATCATCTGCTGTGTAAGTACTAGCTTGAAGCTTGACAGGAACTGGAAAGTCTTTACGGTAGAAGGGAGTGAGCTGTACTGCAGCTATGTTTGATCAGACAATGGCAGGGTCCCCAGTTCACTTGCTTCCCTTTCGTTCACTCTATTCGTTGCTGCCCTACTTTCAGAGAAAGATGGAATACTGAGGTATATAAAGTATCAGTAATGCAATCAAAATGTTGCCCAAGGTTTAGGAAATGTGACAGTACATCCGTGCAGGCCCTTCTACTGCTGCAAGTTAAGTGTGAATTTCCATTGCTGAGACAACGAAGGATTGCAGACTTCAACAGTCAGACCACCATTTTTGGCATTTCGGCTGTCTAAACACAGGTTACTGCCCACGTGCCTCAGTTTAGCATTGCTTTCAATTTGTTCCCATTTCTAGAAGGAAAAAAAAAGTTACTCTGATTAGTTCAATGTGGATAAACAAGTGAATACTTACTAGGGTTAATCTATTCTACAACAACTTTTTTTAAGTGAGCATATAAAGTAGATTCTTTATGAGACGCAAGTTTTATTTAAAATAAAACAACTTTCAACCCCTCAGGTTTTGGAAAAATAATTAATCAGCATGTACAGTGACACAGCTCATTTGTCACGTAGCAATATAATCTACTCATCCCTTACCACACACACAAAAACTTTTAGTTAGAAATCTATAAGCAGACTTATCCATACTGTGCCAAGGAAAGATGCCAAAATAAGCTACAAGGTATAAGCCAGGATACCTCCAGACTTCTTTCAACATCCTGTAGTCCAACCTACTGAAACAAGGATTTAATTTAAAGGCTACTAACGGTATATTAATGTACAGTGGACACCAAGAAGAGGGCAGGGGAGAAGGGGTGATTGCTGAGATAATCCTTCTACAAGGCTGACCAATTTGTCTCCTTTCTGGGTCTTGGTGACTGATGTTAATGATGCTGGGAAAAAGAAGTCTGGGAAATGTTAAGACTGAATGAAAAGAACATTTTATTTTAAACTTTAAGCTACACAAATTGAGGACTTGGATGTCAAAATAATTTTTAAAAATGGGAACTATATAGCAGCCCTGTAACACTTTGGATAATTTTATAAGAGTGAGGATGTATTATTACCCTGCAGGGTCTGCTTGTTTATTTAAAGCATTTTTTAAAAGCAAAAAAAAAAAGCTCTCAAGGGCAGCTTACAAAAATCAGCAGGAGAAGATTCCTTGCTTTCAAGCTTCCATAAAGAAAAAAGATGGGACTTCTATCAAACTTGGGATTGTTTTCTATAATTGGCTGGAGAAACGGGACTTGGTGTAAATTTAGAGATGTTTTCAAGTTACTATAAACTGATTTGAATTTGACTATAGAATGTTAAAAAATATGTAGTAGGGGTCTGACCCTGTAAATCCGATGTATGTGATATGTTTGTAGTATTAGTTTAAAATTTTAAAAGTTTAAAAAAAAGATGGGGAGGGAAAGGAGAAAAAATAAAAAATAGCTCTAACACCAATTTTGAAGTTACCGTTCTTATAATGGAAGCGTGGGACATAGTTTAGAAGAATTTTACAGAAGGCAACTTGTTATAGGAGAAAATTATATGAGAAAATGACAACAGAAGGTTTAAAAAAAGGTAAGAAAACTCTGGAGATTCCATCTTGTTTGTCCATGCCACAGAGATGCATTGCACTGAAAATACACTTTTTCACACAGTGGAGTTACAAGACTGTGCTTCCTAATTTTAATAGATTACTTTTAGAAGTGATACTCCTGAAATATTGCATATCAGTAATCAAACTTGTCTCCCTACTGTTACATTTCAAACTTGACTGAGATAGGATTACTCCTTGGAACAGGTGACATAGTTCTAAAGAATTAATTTAGGGATGAAAAGCCTTGCATATTAGTATCTATATAGATAATACACAACAAGCTACTAGAAGAGGTGATGCTAACCTACTAGTATCACCTTCCTCTGCCCTAGACTTCACTATTTCATATTCAGCTTTGGGGTGAAATTTTTACTCACTCAATTTTTTAAAAAATATTGATTAAATGAAAGTATTACTTGTCACATTTTGCAGACCTATCAATTTCTTCCTGTTACTGGAAATTGAGTCCACTGGGCCACTTTTGCAGAAAAGTGATCCAGTAAGGAAGACTTTCCCCCTTTTCTTCTTTGCTTGACTAATTTATAAATTAAGGATTCTTATAGGTCAGACACCTGCAGTTCAGAGAAGAGTAGACAGAAGCTTTGGGGTTCCCATCTTTTCCTGTTCTAACTGTGGCCTCAAACTTCAATAGTTCAGAAAATATCTTAAAATTCGGCAGGCATGAATGTGAGAGAGGTGGCAGGACATGCTTATGGAACCTGTTATTGCCAGAAATCCAGCAGACATAATATCTCCGCAAAAGGAAGACAGCAGAATAGAGCTTGCATAAGCCATGGCACACAGGATGGTACCTGATTTCTGGAAAGAGAAATGAATATACAGGACCATCCACTGTAAGGACGTAGCCTCAGGAATAATTGTGAATGGCTATATTCCATATACTGACCTGCCTAGCATCATTTTCTCTACAGCCCTGAAGTTTTATGAGTGAGCCAGGAGCTCGGTCTACAACAGTAAGGCACAAATCCATATGTTTCACCGACTTGTCCTTTGTTAAGGCCCATTCCTGGAACATAAATGAAATTACATATAGTTATACTCATGTATACAATGCTTGCAAACATTTATCTACTTTAATATAGCTGAGAAAAAGCTTTATAGAAGAAATGTCCAATATTCAAATTACTAACATTTGTCACACTTTTTATGTAGTGAGCAAAATTTGCAAACTGTGCCACACAATGTGATTTTGTGCGATTCTTTGGAAATCCAGTAACTTTGGCATATTTTGTCAGGAGATGCATCATTTTAAGATTAACATGCAACAGTTGTCTTATAATACCCTCTGCTGGTCCTACAGCACAACAGCACTGAACCAGTTGAAATCAGTTTACATCAGCCATATATTATGAGAATATATTATTGTACATTATTTCCATTTGGCTGGACATGCACATGGTGGGCATGTCGTGAGTGGAGTCAGCTGGTGCTGGAGGTCAGACTAGATGGCCCAGGAGGCCCCTTCTGATGCGTTCTATTTCTATGTTTCTAATAAGTACAGCCTGAAAAAAAGTTTTACATTTTGCTTCATCCTAATAACTTAGCAAATAAATCACACAAAGACAATTTCTGATCTGCCTGTGACATTTTATATTCAAAATTCTTATACAACCTGTACAACCATCTTCAACACATTGCCCAGGCTGTTCTGTTGAATATTCCCTCCTCCATGCAAGTGCATGTGCATATTGAGAATCTTACATCATCTCTGCCTTGTCCTAAAGTACTCTCCCCTTCACTGGAGGTCATCCTCTTCATCTACTTATATAAGGATTACATCATAATTGGTTTGCTTTTCCAGGGAGTATGTCAAATGTGATTCAAGAGGCTAGCATCATTCCACTTCCACTGAAATTTGCTCTTTAATATGGTATTGGCTCTTATTCAGTCAACTAAAAGCCAGCTGTAGTTTGCTAACTCCTGCCTGTGATTATAACCAGGGCTGGAGTCTATGTCTGACAGATGCAACCAAATGAAATCTGATTGCACCATGAGCAAGATTAGTCCAAAGGTGGCCCAGAGAAAGCTCTGAGAATGGCAGTGTTAGAAAAGAATTAAATGTTGAAGCCAACACTTAAATGAGGATATTGAAAAGTTACATGAAGCATGAACTATTTAACATTATAAGCAAAAATGTGTACAAAATATAAACTTGTACATAGATTTCAATTCATCATCCCAGTCTTCCCACATTATTTGCTGTTTCCTAGAGATGTGAAAGCTTGGGAAACAGCATGGATAAAAATTAATAATTGTTTAAAATGAAAAATGGATTTCTAAAAATTTGTTTTTCATTTAAATTTGATTTTTAAAATAAAATGCTTTTGAGAAAAAATATATGTAAAGATAATTTGCTATATAAGATACATTATAGTCCAAAGGTTATTCATCATAAGATTTTAATTATGTAGCATGAGGTTGTATATTCACACAATGTTTAAATTTTTGGTAAATTCCATTAATCCATTCACAATGACATGTTTTTCTAGAGGTTTCTGTAAGATTACTGGGCAATTTCTCTGTCTAGACGGTATTATCACAGATGCTTGGTTTTATAGTTGCTTTTCACATCAAAAATGTTATAAAATAAGCACACAAAGAGCTTAATCCCATTGTTAGCTTGCAAATCTATGTACACAGAATCAACTACTTACCTCTTAAGTGCTCAGTTTCAAAAAATTCAAGAATAGAAGATAGTTGGGAATGGAATAGACCTACACAGAAGCTAAGTGTAGGGGGGTGGGGGGGAGTTCTGTACAAGTCCATGGAGTTTTTTCCCTAGTTCTCAAGAATGTACTGGGAATACTTGCCCAAACTGGGAGCACTGAATTCTTCTGCTTCTGTAAAGTTGTTCATTTCCTGGTCAACTGATACTGTTATGCTAATTTATCTTGTCAAGCAGTGGAAAATCTGTCCTCTGGACTTTCCTTCATGCTATTTCTGCTGCTATATTCTGGTTATCTTCAGACCAGGTACATCATGACATGTTTGTATCTTGCACTTTTCTGCAGTAATTATTTCAGAGTGCAAGTGTCACTGTGGGACTTTTGACGAATCACGGAGTCTCAGCCAAATCTACTTCACAGGGTTGTTGTGAGAAGAGAGAGAGTAGTAGGAGGATGTAAACTGCCTTGGATTCCTTGCCAGAGGAGAACAAGGTGGAATATAAATGCAATGTAATAACAATTTCTGGTGGATGCCAAGCTGAAAAAAGTCGATTTAGATTTTAAGTTAAAGAGTTTGCTTGCAATGGGGGGGGGTCATTTGTGTATATGTGCCCCCTACTCCATGAAACTGGTGAAATGAATAAATGAAGTTCAAGATGAAAGCTGCAATCCTATGTTCATTTATGTGGAGAAAAGCTGCACTAGAGGCAGTGAGACAAGGACTTACTTCTGACTAAACATGCATAGGCTTGGACTATTAGCCATGATCATATGAAATCATGAGGATCTGTTGCTAGATTTAAAAAAAGATCAGGGATCAGGTGTACAGCCATTGCAACACTATGAAGTAGAACTGCTGATTTTAGAAGGATTTTTTTCTTAATCCTGCAGCTCCCTTTCAAATAGGTTATGAGACAGTTTGGCTTTGTTTGTTACATTGAGAAGATCTCACAGTTTCTGCTAACAGCTGGCTTCTAGTTGATAGTTGCAGGGCACGAAAAAAGAGGCACCCCTTGCCTATCAAGCTGAATTGTGGAAGCAACCTAGCCAGCTATCTATAAAAGGCTCATTTGTAATGTAACCATTAAAACCTAGCAGTGACACAATGGAGATTTGGATTAAAAGAATGAAGGTTGTATGAAAAGTTACCTGTTGCTTGCAATGTTTTCAAATTCATGGAGACAGGAGCCCCAGGGCTCAGCTCCTTTGCCTGGAAACCTCAGTTGCACCAGAGCAGTGCAATCAACTCAGATCAAATCAATCAAGCTGCAGCCATCAGAGGGCCAGAGGGGCTGAATCCTTTCAGAAGTACCAGTTTCTGCTGCACAGATAACTAAGTCCCATGAGCCAATGGAACTAGTCTAGATACAATGGCAGTACAGGATATTGTTCAGAATAAAAAACCGAAGTCTTCTTTGGCAAACCACAGAAGCTAAAACTGACTTTAAAGACTATCCTGCACGTGAATCCTAAACAGTCACCTGGGCTGTCATAATAAATCTACTCTTTTGGATGCTATAAAGAATTTCAAATCAGGGTGATTTCACATTTCCATTAACGAACTACTAACCTGGTTTCCTCCAGCATTATGACATTCATAAACACCAACAACGCCATCTGCAAAATGGCCTAATGTGTCAAGGCAATTGGTTCCTTGCTGCAAGGCCCCAAAAGCTATATCCTGATGATCAGGTACCCTAGAAGACAAAATGCTTTTTAGTTCCAGGCAATCATCACATTAAAAACTCACTCTATGTTGAGAGCCATTCAGAGGTGCACGTATGTATCATTATGTAATTCTCTGTCAGTGGCTGTCAGTAATCCCCCAAACTGCATTGTAAATTAACCTGAACTTAAACAGAAACAACACAAAATGGTCAACCAGAAAGATACCTTCCCAGTCAGCTAAGAGAACAATCTTATACATGTTGAGACCAATACACACACACACGCACCAACAACAACACCCTGGGGACTGTTGGAAATTGTAAGACTTTCTTTCTAAGCAGCCCTAGGAACTACAACTAAGATGATGTTTGGTAAGATTTGACCTCTGACATTTTAGAAGTATCATTCATTTCTCAACATGCAGGACTAAGCCAAAGTCTTATTTCATGTGACCCTTGGTGTTATTTGGCTCTGCAGACACTATGAACCCAGGCTTGCCCTCTGGGCTGCCCCTTCTGGGAAGCCCATTCTCATGTTGGAATGTGCATGCGGAAGAGATGGGACAGAAGTGGCAAACAGAAAGATCTGTGCAAACTCTGGCCACCATCAGCCGCAGCCTGATTGATTTTCCTGTACGTCAATGGCCTTTTGCTGTGGAAACATTTCCTCCATCCCTGGAATAAGGGGAACTTCAAGTTCAGGAAGTTCTCTAAACATACCTTAAACATGGGTGAGTTATTCTTCAATGCCATTTAATCACCCATTTGCATCATCAGTCCAGTACCATGGTTAAAATAAGGATTGTATTCACTTTAATAATTCCATATATGGAACCAGATTGTAATTTTCACTGATTAAGCTTACATCTTTAATGAGTCTGCCTGCTACAGAAGGTTTCTCCAGATTATTTTCAATATTGAATTGGAAATCTGTGATTTGAACCAGAAAGTTCATATGGAAATGTTGATATGAAATACTGAGCAACTGAAATGTGCAGGCAGCACTAATCAAGTGCAGGAATTCCTATCTACCATATGCCAGGTCTACCTACTGTATTACCATGCAACTGAAGGACATTCTTCCACAGCACAATAGCCCCAAAGGACAACCTGCCCACAGCTCCTGCTTGGGCCTGACACAAAGCACCAAACCTCTCCTTAGAAATGCTATTTGTTAATTGATAATATATGTCAAATTCTGAAGCCATTCTGAAGGCTGATGGGAGGGAAGTCACAGATTAAAATGGAAGAGTCAAAAGAAAAAGATGAGAGTAAATTTACCATACATCCTTACACTGGAAAAAATTCCAACAGGTACATACACTAAGGCACTAACCTTAACTCAGGGTACACATTTTCAAGATACCACTTGAATGGTTTACAATTAAGCCTCTTTCTCAGTTCCATTCGACTTTGAATACTATTGGGAAAAGTATTAAAACATGTTAAAAACTGTCAAAATCTAAATTATATTCATATAAAAATATAGTCATTTAAAAACCGTTTAAAGATGCGGTTTTATGATTCTGTTTATATTATTAATTTTTTACACCCCTCCTGCAAAGACTGCAGTATCAAAATAGTTTGAAGAGGAGGAATGCAGTGATTAGACTTACTTGCCATAAGGTACATTTCTGGCTGAAGGCACTGCTGCATAATAGAAATTTTTGTATTCATCCATCCAGACTTCTGCTGCTCTACGTGTATTTCTGAAAAGAATTCAAGATACAATGTTATTTTCTTCTTTCTTTCCTTTTTCTGAAATTCAGTGAGGCAGCTTCCTTATTCTTTTACTACTCATAGTACTGTAGATCTTTCCGCATTAAATGTATTGCAGAAATAGAAGTGATGCCTACTCCCATTAGCTCTTGTTTAGTGCAAGAGTGGGCACCATGTAGCCTCCCCAGTGTTCTGGCCTACAACTCTCAACATCCCTCCCCACAGGCTCTGCTGGCAAATGCTGATGAGAGTTGCAGGCTAAAACATCTGGAGGTCCATAAATTGCCAACCTCAGTTTGGGGTTTGTGCTTATGAAAGGAGAATGCCATGACAGACACTTTCATTCTTCATGGTTCCACTGCAGCTCAGGGGCAGGTGGCAGTGCCAAAACATAAGCTGGAAATTGCTTCAAACACTCCTTCAGGCAGAAATTTAAAACAACTAATTCTACCCAAGGTATTTTATGTTTATGAGCACACACTATTTTATCCTGTAACTTCAGCACATCTGAAGCCTACAATAAAAATCAAAGATTACATGGTGTTTTTCTACCTCTCTCATCATCTTTTGTGTAAAGTAACTCCATTGTTGCAGGGAAGGGGAATGGAAGAGAAGCCGTATGCATTGCTTTCTTTGGTGCTTTCAGCTACCCAAGCCTATTACATACCCTTTTCTATGTGTGTTACTTTTCAGGTTTGTTTAATCTTCAGATTTCCTTGAATATTCTTGGGCAAGCATTTAGCATGGTCAAAAAATTACAAATCAGAAGAATTTATTGTGAAAGAATTCTGAGTAGTAAAGTGCCCAACAATTCTACACCTCAGTTGCTTGAGCTCAGTTTTAGCAGTCATACAGATGATTATGAGAGATTCACAGAAAATGCATGTAGCACTGTGAGAACTACAAAAACAAACATTTCTAATACAGAAAGACAAGAAAAATGCATTTCAGAAGACCATTCTCATAACCCAGTAGTGTGTTTCTAGAGATAGTTCCTGTGTTTAAAAATGCAAAGTAATTAGGCAGAGCAATTATACTGATACTCAGTTTGCTACATATTAACTCAGTAGATTATTCTGGCAGTTCATTTTTTTATCACACTGAAGGCTTTTTGAAGAACTTAAATGATTTCCAAGATTTTGCTATTTGAAAAAGAATTCTACATAATTAAGTGACCTGAAAAGAAAGCAACACAATTCTTGTCATTTGTTCTTCCTCTGGGTAAGCATATCATCTTTTATTCCATTATTTTATTTAAAGCAGTCTCCTAAACGTACCTTGCAAAAACAGTACCACTTCCTCCTGGGAAGGTGTAAGGGTGTTGTTTGCGGAACACATGGCCAACTCTACTGCATGGGATTATTTCGAGGCTCCCACCACACTGCCACACACGGAATGAAATCTCTGCCATTAGAAAAGAAGCAAAAAAAAAAAAAAAAAACCAAAAAACAGTTCACTCTCACCTCACACCTGAGGTTTTGCTTTCCTGTCCTGTCTTTCAACAGTGTATCATGGTTTTAAATCCCTGGATAGTTTCCTGACTACCCTTGCATCCAGAAAAGGGAGGATCAGAATCAGAATCAATCAATCTATCTATCTATTTATTTATGAATGAGACTTCTATGCTGCCCCATTTGTTGAAGCCTCGGGGCGGCTTACAATGTCTGAATAAAAATCAGACATTGCTGCTATCTATACAATTATTAAATATGTTCTTAGAGCACTTTTTGCACTTTTAGTTCAAGAACCTAAGCATGTTTAAAAACCAATATTCAGTCAATGGCCACAGTTAAATGAATATTTCTAATTACTTGGCTTGGACATGAGCACCTGCAAATGAGACCAATAATGAAAGTGTCAGCCATTTAAAAAAAAGATCTGTGATGCTATGATATGTATAAAATTACAATCTATCTTAAAGTAAGGTGCCAAGTAAATAACAGGGCTGATAATAAAAATCAATTACCTCAGCCCTCAAGTAACTACTTTTTAATAGATTCCTTAAAGTACATACACAAGATGAGTTCGTATACCCTACTCTTGAGTATTTAAATATTTGGAGCATCTTAAAAATCCTCAATGGAACACTTTGGGAACTACTTTTTAATTAGTAAACACATTTTTAATTTACACATAACTTTTTAAAGGCTAAGATCCCTTGACATTTTTACTAACTGTGTTTATATTTTGTGCAAACTCTATTTAACTCAGACTCCCCTTTCAGTTCTTATTTTTCAACATATACTTTAGAATGGAGCTGTGCAATGGCTCACTGTCTGGCAATAAACTACTTAAAATATTATTAACTGTCATGTTAATCCAGTCCAGACAGAGATCTAAAGGCCAGGAACCCATAAAAATTAGGTTATATTACAATTCACTTTTCTCCAAAAAGGCTTCTCTGAGGAAAGATACATACCTAGATTTTCTCCACCCCATACATCCATCATCATATCATACTTCCCCAGCTCTTCAAAGTAAAGTTTGTCCATCACAAAGAGTCCACCAGCTATCATAGGTGTTCTAAAGAAACAAAAATAAGGGTAGAAATTGTCTATTATGTACTTGGACAAGATAGTAAGATACTAAGACTCCAACTGAATATGTTCTATCCACACCTTAAATAAAACAATTCTGTTCCGTTTTAGTCAACTGCACATGCTGCCACACTAGTATATTTTATTATAAAACCAATGTGGCCAAGATTTTTTCTTGGTTAGCCACTTTCTCAGTTCCTCAGAAGTAGAAATTACTATTGCTAGAAATGTGCAAATAATATGATCTGTTCTTAGAACAGCTTAAAACACTGGATCTATATTAGGTTCTTTGCCCTCTGAAATTCTTAAGAGTGTTTTAGGAATCAATGTACAATTATACCCCTACAATCAACTTAACATTGGAACTATATATATCTTTGCTAAATATTCTGCACTTTATATGAATTATATACATTTGAATATATTGGATGTTCTGTTCATTCTCTTCAAGAAGTGGGAGAAGGAATTAAAAAGGATACCTCATATCCCATACTCTTCACCACAAAAGTTTTAACTAATTCTTTCTTGACTTCTGAGATTCATCCTTTCAGGCTTATCTTTTTATGGACTAGGTGTGTACAAGCTGGGTTTGCCCAGTTGATTTTACTCGTGGTGGCTTAAATAAGCCACCATCATCTGTGAACACCCAAGGGCACCCATTCAGTAAACAACCCCTCCACCACCATGGCTTGTATTATGCAAAAGTGGCAAGGATGGGTTGCCGACATGGCTGCTGCTTTAGGGTTGTGGATAGTTGCTAACTATGCCAGCAACCCATCTTCAAGAGGTTTGCATGACACAACAGCCTATGAGATGGGTTGGTTGATGGAATGGGCACTCACTAATCGTGGCTGTTTATTAAGCTACCATGGGTAAAACTGAAGGTGAAAACTCAGTTATAGTCTCTTTGATGTTGGAGAAATGAACATATAGCATATGCACATGCTTACATATATGTAAACATCCAAAAGAAGAATCAAACTAGCCACACTTTAATAATAATCAATGTGCTCATTTTATCTACGTATCTGGGTAGAACAGCAAGTTAAAGTAAATTTAAGTACTTTGGCAAGCACCATGCTAATTAGGGAGTACTCATTTGCTGTAGTCTCCTGGGAAGCTATGTGTAGGAGGAAGGCAATCCAATTACTAAGGTTCATATAGTTTTCAAACCTTCACTGTTCAACACTATTTCCTTTCAGTAGATGATGTAATTTCAGCATACACATAGTGTACTATCAATTATGTTTTATAATGACCATTTTAATATATTATGCTGCTGCCATTAACAGAAAATGCCACTACCACAACAAATGTAAGTTAGCAAAGATGGAAGTTAACAATTAAAATATCAGCCTGCAATATTCTGAACCAACGCTTCAATTTTTCAATAGTTTCCCCCTGAGTTTAGTGTTTCATGACGTGCAAAGTAATTCAAGAGCAGTCTGCCAAGAATAACTTGGGAGATGGAAACTCAAAGTTGCACTTACTAAGAACAACAATATTGTTTTGTGAGGGGAAGGGTGGTGGCAGGAACATACTTTATGGGAGCAACTGGGTTTCCTTGACGTGCTCTTCTTTGCTCAGGTGTCATGTAATCCCACTTGAATACCAAATTCCAATCAAAGCCTAAGAGATTGTGGGTGGAGGGATGGGGAGAAAAAAGAAGAAAGTCACAATAGCACAGGCAAGATATTGCATAAATTTGTTTCCTTTACCATTTTACTAACTATCACATGCTCTGAAGTTAAAGTGAACACATCTGAATTCTACAAGTGCTTCACATATGTATTCAATTTTTTTACAGACAAGGTTAGAACTGTATCCTCCACATTTTACAAAAGCTACCATTTGGGATCCAAGAAACACTTCTAAGCTCTCTAGAATGTACTTACACTTGTAGAAGTTATGCAGATAAAGTTTGAATATTCAAAAGTATCCAGAGGTACACTACTGGCATGTAAATAGGACCAGTCAGCTTGCTTGAACAAAGCAATTATGTGAGTCTACCTCAAGAATGGCATTTGAAAACACTAAAACACAAGTACTGGCTTATTCCAACTAGTTTAGGGTATGGCACCTCTTTTTATCACCTGTCTATTCAGGCTGTCTTGGGGTGCAACTATGTATAGACAACAGCTGAGCCGAAAAAATAAAACAAAAATATATTGGTACATATATTGCTGTGTGATGGAGCTTGCAGGCTCATACACCACTTCAAATTTTACCATATGAAATTTCAAAACAGCCCTCAGAAGTATGATCAGTTCTGAGGCCATGTAAGCCTGTAATTCTGAGTGTAAATATTTTAGACATCTATTGGCTACTGCTCATAAACAGTAAAATTTTCTCAAGCAATCTATGTTAAGAGCAGTTTGGCAGCTGTTTTTATTACATTTATTAAATGTTTTTAAAGTATAAATGACCGTGTCATATTCACAACTCTATACATTCATGATATAGCTATTAAAACTCAGTTCTAGATTACCCTTTGAAGTTAAATTGATTGGATCAGAAGCTGTACATTCTTTGGCCTCATTAATGTCACGAATTCACTAACAGGGTATTTCAGGAAAACCACATGAACAATTTCCCTCCTTATTCCATGCCTTTTCTCTAACTCTGCACTTATATGTTTTAAGACTATCAGTATTATATCAGGAGTTGTTCTCATCTCTCAAAACGAGTCTACATATCTGGCAGTGGGTCTAGGGTTAGCAGTCATATGCTGTGCACAAGACAACTACACAGGTACAGAAAACCTGCTAATGCAGATAATAGTAGAGATGTTCCTAAATTAGAACCAATGTGCTATAGTGGTTAGAGTATCAGACTAAGACTGTGGAGATCCATGTTCAAAACCCCACAGCCCCTGAACTCACTGGCTGTACTTGGTCCAGCTACCATCTCTCAGCCTAGCCTATCTTATAGTGTTGATATGAAGTGAGGGGAGAGAGCCATCTTTGCCACCTTGATCTTCTGGGAGTAAAGGTGAGATGCAAGCATAATAAATAAGCAATCTAATGGCTGTAATAATATTTTGCATATGCCACAGTGTTGCATTGCTGAATCACAGAATGATTGCAACAAGATATTTGAATTCTCTTAAAAGTACTGGATTTGTTATACTGAAAACATATTTTACTCTTTCCAGAAGACAGTGTACGAGCCATATCTACGAATTATCCAGAAGCATTTTTATGGTCTCTACAACTTGAGCTATTGTGAAAGATGCCATTTTATTCTTCTAAGGATGCAATCATAGTTAGTTATTTAAATATTTGTAGCTATTATTTAAATGAGAGTGGAAAATGCCCCATTATGTAGCAGAGTCAGAATAATTAACTATATTTCAGCAGAAAAGGATTTTTAATTGTAAAATTACATTGCACAAACAGGGTTTTATTAGCATGATCTTTTCTTTAAGTATCTTTCACATGTGCAAACATAAACATTCTTATAACTGCCTTTGCTTAGTGGATATGCATGCTATCTGAAATTATATACCATAAGATACAACTCCAAATGGAAGATCTAACTACAATGATAGCATGTTGTATACTAAGTATTACACTTCAGGAAGGATGATATTCTATGATCATTAGAATACCCTTTGAAACAGCAAAATGTACATTTTATGTCATTAATCCAAATGTGGGAATAAAAGCAACTGTTTCTCAGTCAATACTGAGCCAGAACTGGTGCACACTAGAGCCAACAGTAGGGGGCTCTTCTGGAACACAAATCAAAAGTAGAGCATAACATATCCTTTAACTCAATTAGGTTAAGGAAAGTAATCCAACATGAATGCCTCAGCCCAATTTGATCAGACATGTTCCATTTACTCCTGACAGAAGGCTATGCGCAGGCGCAAAACCCATGTGTGTGAAGCACGGAGACATGAAGAAGAGCACAATCATCTAAAACTCAAGACATACACAGATTTCAATTCCTCCTCATACAGCTGACATTCTATGGCAAGTTGTATTTGTATCATATATTTAAAATACATGCTACTCCTAAATATTTGAGGTTAAATTCTGAATTTGGGGCAGCATCCAATACTTAATATCTCCTGAACATTTTTGTTTTCTCTTACTCATTAAGTATTATCTTGCATTTTTGCAACAGACATTTAAAAGTATGCACTGATTACACATTGCACTTATTTTCAGTCTTTCAAATTATGTACATCTGCCATTTCTATTTGAATTTTCAGTTCAGATCATTAATACATATCCACCAGTCTTACCAATTTAAACGCACTCGTCTGAAACACAAAAGGCCAAATTCAAATAGAATACACCTCTTAAAAATGCAACAATGTGAGATAAGCATGAATATACGATTACTATTGTGTGTGTAGCTGCCTTGATGCCTTCATATTATACAAAGAGCACTCAAATCTTGTATTTCAGGACACCAAGAATTTTTTATTTCAGCACACTACGTACCGCCTTTTAAATCAGCTGATGCCCCCACATACTGGAAGTTGTCCATATTAATTACATCAATTATAGGAGACACAACTCGAGTCCTGTCCTAAAATACATATTGAAATAAACAAAAACAAAATATAAAATATGCAGATAAGGAAGGCTGTTCAACTTTTTGAAATGAAGCGTGTCACAAAATCAATGGAAAGGTATTTTACTTATATCATTCTTCCATTCAAATTTACAGAGATTTGAACAAAAATAGTTAGGCCACAGGGTCTGGCACCTTCCCAACTGGTTGAATGTTAAGTGTACACAGAGCTGCCCTTGAAGACAATCAAGAAGCTTTCACTAGTGCAAAATGTGGCAGCCAGAGATGTACCTTTCATAGCCAGCAGAATCATATTACACTGATTCTGAAGGAGATGCACTGGCTGCCTACTTGCTTCCAAACTCAATTCAAGAAGCTGTTGCTTCCATTTAAAGCCCTAGATTACTTGGGACACAAATATTTGCAGGAACGCCCTTCCTTTTATCAGCCTTCCTATGACTTAAGATCTTCTCTAAGTACCTTGAGTACAGTATGACCCAGTTTACAAGATCTAAACAGCCCACAGTGACTTTTTTTAAGCCACAGCAAGTGCTGGGTAGGTTTTGAATATTCAAGCTCTGGTTACAGCTTGTTGTATCATAACCGGAGGAGTTATGCAACTATTAAATGACCCACAAGTAGAAATAATTCCCTCTGTTTCCTGTGTTCAGAAATGAGGGCTGGTGCTTATGTAGCTGAAAGTACTCCATTCACAGGAGGGAGGTATCAGTTGATCTAGAGAAGCCCCAAGTTTTTCAGAAGTATAGAAAATCCGGTGGAAAGACACAACAACAGATCAACAACTCTACAGTTTTCCAAATGCAGTTACACCACAGATCTAAATATTATAATTACTAAACAAGCAATTCTATTTTTAATCCCTTTCCTAATATATAATATGGAAATAGTAATTTTTGCTTGTACTGCACAGCAGGCATTTTTCACTGAAGTAATCATCACAAAGTTAAAACCTTTTCCCTAGTTACTTACAATCAACTTACAATCTTTCAGGGCATTGAAACTTCGGTTGCTTTTTAAATTTGCTCTAAAGTACATCCCTCTATACATACTGACATTAAACCTTATTTACCATTTTGCTGCTCATTCACTCAGTTTAGGAGTGCCTCCTTCAAGGACTTCACAGAGTTTGCATAATACTGAATGATGAAACTACAAATTTTGCTGCCTCATCACTCCTCATATCAGATCATCTAAATAAACTCACGATTTTTCCTTCCAGTGTATATCCTTGCAAGACAGTGCTGTTTATTCCTCACCCTATGCAGTTCTTTTTAACTTCTGCTTCCATTTCATTGACCAGTTACCCTCCATAAGAAGTCATACCCTCTTTCACTATCACTAACTTTTAGTAAGGGATCTTGTCAGCATCTCTTTGGAAATCCAAGTAAACTGTGTCTGGTAGATCATTCTAATCTTCATGTTTCATAACTTTAAGAACTCTCAACTATGCACTGTCCTGAACTAGTGACTTATCAGTTTGCCACTTAGCCTTAAAATTTCCAGTTTCACAAACAAACTGGCTTGGGTATTGGTATATCCCAATTAGTAAAGACTAATGCAAATTCTGCTTAAGTTCTCTGCAATCTTTCTATGCTTCTTCAGTAACACTCTTGTCTAACCATCCATCCGCATCCCAGGCTAATGCCTTGCTTCTGTGTATTTAAAAGCATATCTATTTCAGGATAGTGTTTTTCAAACAGGCTTTTCAAATTCTTCTGTAATTCTTTTTCTCATCTAGGAAGCTCTTCCCTTCTTGAGGCAAAGCTTTTAGCCCTTTGACTTCTCAACACTGCTCATTAAATCAGCTGCCATTCCCTTGGATCTGTCAGTATCTTTCCTAATCTGTGGCATACATTTTATCTGAGTTTCTATAATAATTATTTTCAAACCACTCTAAACATCATGAGAAAATGGCTCTCCTTTTATCAGATGTAAATATATTTGAAATATGCATATAATATTTAATGATACTACTAAGGCTCCAAGCACTAAAAAATTACCAAACAAGGGCATCACTTCCCTTGAAAAGGCTACATTTTAAAGAGAACAAATTGGTTGCTACAAAATTCACCAGATAAGCATAACAGAAGACATGTTGAAAGGCACAACAAGTATAGATAGAGCTAATCAGGTGTTCTGCTATGCCCATCACCAACCTGAAGAAACTCAAACATGTAAAATCAATGTGAATTTACAAATGATTATCTTCTAATCAATTTGGAGGTAATACTGATAATGCCTCTCTGCCTGAACGACTAATTCCTCAAATTAGTATTCTGGTCAGTAGTCTAGAAATTTTTATGGAAACACTGAATACATCCATTGCCATTCTTCAATGTACAACAGAATTCAAGTAGGATAATTTTAATGGATCAGTAATTGATGTCTCTCTTAACTAACCTCAGCCACTCTCTCCAGAAGAGGCTCTAGCCAGTGCTCATTGCATTCACAATGACTGTCCAAAAATGTCAATACTTTAGCCTGTGCTGCATCTGCCCCTCGAACACGGGAGCGCATCAAACCTGAAAATCAAAACCATACATTAGCTAATTGTTTCCATGTTTGCTATTTCATCAGTTAAGTGATTCAGTCAACCCCCTTCCCAAAAAAAAAAAAAAAAAACTAAAAAACAGCCCACTCACAATGGGAAAACAATTAGTTTAACTACTATTGATACTTATCTTCTCTGCAGCTCCTGGTATTCTGCTGTTGAGAGATGGGCTCCTGAACTAAGGGTTTAACACTAATCAACTTCACTTATGACAATGACCAATTCTATCGAACTCAACTTTCTTACAATATCACCTTACTTCAGTGACCAGATTTAAAATAGGAATCTGGTGTGCTTGTAAAGTGTCCAATATTCCAAACCGGTTCATCACTCTCCCACAACCCTCTCACTCCACCTGGCTGAGACAATGTGAGTGAGTAGCAACTTGCAAGATGGCACAAATGCTTTGGAAAGTAATCTCCTAGCATTTCTGTCGCATGAGCAGGTTCTGCAGCAGCATCCTAACCTCTGAGCAACATGTTGCTGTGAGTAGATCTCCCTTTGTGTCATTGTGTTACCAAAGCAGCCACCACAGCTGCCATGTAAATGGCTTGGGGGGTGGAGGCATAGATTCAGACACTCTGGCACTTCGCGAAGTCAGAAAGATCATAATGGGGCACAAGCTGAGTTCTGAACAAACTATTCCAAGGTGTATTTTTTCCATTTTTTAAAAAGTAGCTCAATTCGACAAGCCTAGTTCTAGGTTAAACTGGGACGAAGGACTTGTCCATTGGTACTTGCCTAGATGTTGCTGGTATTCCAAGTGAGAAACCTTATTTTTTTCTTACAGGACTACTTACAACGCATTCAAGGCAAGACTTAATCAACATCATCTCCCTGGCATAAGTCATTAAGTTGAAATTCATGGCTTCTTGCCTTGTACAACCTCTTGAGGATGTCTATGATGTCAGTGTTTGAAGCTGCTTCACAGGAAAGGCTGGTAACCAGTCAGTATTTTTTCACAAAAAGCACCTATAAGGTAGTTTACTTCAAGAGGAACAACCACTAGTTCTCTCTAATATGTAATAGTTCAATACAGTAATTAGACTATCAGCTTTCCATACTAAAGCCTTTGCACTCAGGAAACTCTTGATTTTAAAAAGAGCTCCAGTACTGTGAAAAGCGAGTCAGAAGACAGAATCATAAAGGCCTATCAGATTAAATAGCTGCCTTCTTTGTACAATTAATTAATTTCATTTCTTCTCTATATAATACTTGTAGCAAGAACAGATTGTTCTTATTGTTAATAACATTAACTCTGCCTGCAGTTTTAGTCCTCATATTTTCCAGTCCTAATAAAAAGCTCACCTTCCCGGCGATCATTTCGAAGTATTCTCACTTTCTCAATTTTACCCAAGAGAGCACCATCCTCAGCTGGAAAAAAGTAGTAGCAAATTGATTAATCATTTATTCATCTGGGAATAAGAAAAACATTGGAAAAGTTATTCTTCCTTGCCAAACCACAAACAACTTGCAAGTTTTGTAGCCATGACATGCCTGGCTTCCTCTTTTCTAGTCAAACCAAAGTTGCAGGACCTCTATCTTCTTACATAAGGAGAAGTTCAGCTAAATACAACTGAAAATGATGGAAGATACGTATCTCAAGAATATTCATTTGTCATCACAGGCTTTTTCATTCATGGCATCAGAAAGCAAAGACTCTCAAAGCCATAGCCCAGGGGAAGCGGGGGAGATTAATCAGCCCCAGTCAAAAAATTTTTTAGAGTAGGAGTGAGCAACTTGTAGCCTTCCAGATGCCTGGGCCTACAAGTCCCACCAGCTAACATAGCCAACAGCGATGGATCATAGAATTTAAAGAGCAAAATATCTGGGGGCTCACAAGTACTAGCTGATCAGCTCTAATCACATATTAATCTTTTAAGGCAGAATTTCAGGAGCAGAATCTTGTACAAGTACTCACGATCATTACTGAAGTCATCTACCAATATGATTTCCTTGATAAGATGAGACGGACTTTTTTTGAGGACGCTGTAAAAGAAAATAAATCAGATGATTACAATTATTTAATTCCTATATTACCATATTGCTTGTCATTGTAATGGAAAACATAAGTCTCAGGAATACCTGACAACTGTTCGAAGCAAAGCTGATCGTGCCTCATTGTGAAAGGTGATAACTACACTAGTAGATGGTAAATCTATTCGCCACTGCTTCCGCTGACACCTTGAAAAAAAGAACAGAAATGTTTCAAGTACTGAAATCTCTTTGTTCAGTAGTGGTTTTGATGCAAAAAGCCATATTAAAAAAGTCTAGGGTATACTTCCACATGGTATCTTCCAGAAAAGGAGCAGTAGCTGAATGTTAGGGAAAAAGTCATTGTGTTATAAAATAAACGGTATTCCTTAAAATAAACACAATGATAGCTACTAAAGCTTTGGTTTGAAAGACCGAAGGCCCAGGGTATATTTTGAGGATCTATTTTGTGGAAGTCTGAGAGGCCTTTGTGGGCATGAGAGATGGGTATGTGTTATATTTTGGATATTAATGACATTTGGGTACATGACAGGGAGTGTGCATCATTAGTCCCAGAGATTTCTGCCGCAGCAGCTTTGTGTTTTAAGAATGTTTTTGAAGTGTGCACATACGTATACAGTCTGGCACTGATGCTGGTACTTTGGATAGATGACAAACTTGTATTAACATTCAAATGTTCTGCACCATCTTTGTCCGCATGTGATCTATGCCAGTTTAATCACTCAGGGGGCAGAGATAGTTCTTCCAGGAAGGCAGACATTTCTTATGTTCAATACCTTACATAATGATAGATCATCCTTTGGGGCCCTGTCCTCAACAATGGATAAAATCATGCTGCAAGTCATCTGCACTACAGACAGCCTTTAAAAAGTCTAACAATCACAAACTACTTGAAGCACTAGAGAAATGCAGTGCACCATTCAGTTATGCTGACGTCTAATCCTACCAATAATAGTTTAATGTTCCATCTAAAGCTGATCAAAATGAATTGCCTTAGCCCAAGTTGAATTTAGGTCTTCTAAAGTGAATCAAATCCCAGAATATTTATAAATCTACTGGGTCCATATAAAATTAAGCTGCTTAAAAGTCTCTCTGGCAATAGGACTCAGAAGCACCGCTAATCCTTTATTTATTCCCCTCCAGAATTAATCAAAGTAGGTGAAACTTTCATGCATTTCTGGACTTCGAAGAACTTACAATTCTCTTTCCTCCCCTTCTAACCTGCCAATATATAAACTATATTTTCTATATTTTGACAGAGTCTTAGATATTTTAAAACTTCCTTCCACATCAAAGACAATCCTAACATCATGTACTAATAAGTTGGAAGTTAGGTTAGAGAAGAACACATTTCTGCTAGCCTTTGTAAATATCTGAATGGCACACATTTTAATGAAAGGCAATTAACTACCCAACAAGTGGGAAATACAGGTGACTGTTGTCCTAAATGTGAGGCAGTTATATTTAACATGCATTTATAAAATGTATTTATTTATTATAATTATAATGTTCTCCTTTTTTACTACATAAAGCAAAGGTGGCTTAAATAATCCTCCTATTTTAAACTCACAACAATCCTGTGAGGTAGGTCAGGCTGAGAGTGTCTGGTCCCAAGTCACCCAGAAATGTTCATGGCTGATCAGGGATTAGAACCCAAATTTCCCAAGTGCTACTCCAACACTAACCTTTATACCATATTGCCTTCTGTCTCTAATAAAGTCCCCCCAACAATATAAAGTAAAACATTAAACAGATTTAAGCAGTAAACAGGATTAAAACCAAATCTTTTTAAACCGAAGCTGAGCAGAATAGTACATTCAGTCTCACACATCTCCCAAAGACTGAATTTAAAGGACACATGGGCACCATCTTCTTTCTTTCCGGCAGGGCATCATTGATACTGCACACTGGATTTGGATAATCCAGTTATGCAGATGAAGCAGGCAGATTTGGGGAGACAGGTAGATTGCTTACCTTCAACTGTTGTTTGAGTAGTCATCTGTGCATTCGTGCATATGGGATCTGTGCACATGCACGGAGCCTGCCTGGGAAGATTCCAAAGCTAATTAGTTACTATTTAGTGGGAGCCCCACCCCTAAGCATACCTTGGTGCAAGGGAGGGGCTCCATCTGATCCTCAGTTCTGAAGCCATGAGACTGCCATTGTGGTCCCCTGTCCAAAGAAGTAGATCCTAGGGGCCCGTGTGGTTTTTAGAGAGGGCACTCGACAGCCAGCACGTGACACCAGAGGGAGAAGGTGGCCAAGTTTGTGTGAATGCACAGATGACCACTCAGAGAATGACAGTTATCAATTGGCTTTCTTCTTTGTGGTCTCTGTGCAACACACATGCGGCCAACTGAAATGTTTATCTCAGGGAAGTGGGCGATATTGTTACTGAAGGATCAAGGATAGGACTGCCCTGCCAAAGGCACAGTCTACACTGGCCCAGACATCAAGGCTGTACTGTCCATGGGTCCAACCATGTTGCAGCCTTGCAGAGATTATGCAGTGGCACCCCAGCATAGAGGGCCATGGAAGTGGCCATCACTCATGTGGAGTGGGCATGTATCGGTCCAGAGGGATGGAGTCCAGCCAGTTCATAGGTGAAGAAGATCATGTTCATGTCGCATTTTGTTATTCTCTGTGAGGAGATATGGAGTCCTTTGTTTGTGCCACCACAATTGATGAAGAGCAGCTGTGACTGCTGGAAAGGTCTGATTCTAGATTTGCAAAAAGGCTAGGGCCTCTTGGATGTCAAAGGAATGAAGCGCTGTCCCTATCAGTTCTGATGGTGCTGTGAAGACCAGCAGGACTATGTCCTCATTGAGGTGGAAAGCCAAGACCCATCTTGGGTAGAAAGGAAGTGTAGGGCCAGAGATCCACCTTGTCCCTGTGGAAGGTGAGCTACAGACGGCAACCAGGTCACTGAAGTGGCAAGCCAAAGTGATGGCCACTAGGAAGGCATTTTCCACAATAGGAAATATAAGTCAGCAGTGTGCACAGAGGGCTTCCTTGTGAGGGCTTGGAGGACTATAGACAGGCGTAAGGCCATTGTAGGCCTGGTGGGTCAAGGTTCTTGAGGCCCCTGAGGAATTGCCAAGTAAAAAGGTGAGAGAAGGTGGAGGAGCCCTTTACTGGGGAATGAAGGGCAGAAATGACAGCCATGTATATGCAAATGGGAGACTATCTTGACACCCTGTTGGAAGAGGGAGTTCAGGAATAGGAGTACCTGTTGTATAGGGAAATTTATAGGCTCAAAACTGTGCCATGTCATGAAGGAGAAGGCTTTCCACTTTGGTTTTGTACAATATGAGTGTCAAATGATCAGTTTCAAGGTCACCTCCAGCACCAGTCAGATCCTCAGGCTCTTTATGGTCCAGTAAAGTCCTAGATCTTCCTGGATCCTCCAAGGCCATGATGCAGAGTGTGCAGATCACTGGATGGAGGATGGTTCCTTAGTCCAGAGAGATGAGGTTGGGTTTGAGCAGGAGGTACAGGAAGCTATATTTGGAGAGCTGCAGAAGATGGGGGAACCAGGACTGACTGGGCCACCAAGGTGTTGAAGTCCAAATGAGCTCCAATGAAGAGGATCAACTGGGAAAGAGAGAGCAAGAGAGGATTTTTCCATGTTTACATAAAGTCTCAGGTGGGAAAGCAATTTACATGTGGTAGCAGTGGCCCAAGCAGTGGCTCACCTTGATGGGGCAATGATCCAAGTATGGCTAGACCTGGACATCTTGAAGGAAGAGATATGCACAGACCACTGACATGTATTTTGTGAAGACCTGCTATGTGGCAAGACTGAAACAGAAGGATGGTGAATTGGAAGGTGCTGTCCCCAACTTGGAAGTGGAGGAAGTGCCTTTAGGATTTTTCAGTGATAATATGGAAATAAGCATCCTTCAGGTCTACCAAGGTAAACCACAGCAGCAGCAGCAGAGAATTTTGGAGTATGGCCATGCAGAACTTCCTTGGCCTACATGCTGAATGGCTCCTTTTTAAAGCATGGAGCTGGTATCTTTCAGAATGGAAGTGGATTGTTCATCTGACAGAACTGAGAGGTGGGAAGACCTCATAATTCTGTAGCTGTGCTGGATGATGGAAAGAACTCACAAGTACAAGGAGATCTCAGCCCATGAGTGAAGAAAGGGCTGGAGGTGGTGGCCAAAGATGGGCTAAGTCACAGCTGTCTTCTAGTGTCAACAGGGTGCTGGCACCCTTGATACAAGTCTGGGGGGATCCCCTCCCCTGGGTTGAAGGACTGGCCTGTGTCTTAGGGCAGTAGGGGGTTGTAGTCTGGATTGACACAAGTAACTGGGGCAGTCCCCACTTACGAGAAGTGTAGTGTCTAGGTGGCAGTGGCTGTTTCAGTCCCGTCCTTCGTGTGGTCACCCTGGCCTTCTGGACGGAGTCCATTTGGTCATTGGTGGCCACATTGAACACGCCCTCTCCACTGCAGGGCATATCCTCAATCCAGACCCACACCTCAGTACTCAGCCTGAACAACCACAGCTACACATAGTGTCGCAAGTCTATCATTCCTCCCATGATCTTCATGCCATGGTCAGTCCAGTGCCTGGCCATGTGGATCACCTGGTGGGCAAGGCAAAAGGACTCAGCTCTGATGTTATTGGCCAGGTCTTTCAATTCCCTCGGGGAGGTGCTGCAGAAGGAGTCAATCCTGTCCCAGTGCGTGAGGTGGTATCTGGCCATAGTTGCTTAGGGGTTCACCATTTTGAGGGCCAGCACAGCAAGGAGTAGAAACACCACCCCACCGTGTCCAGGAGATAGCACTCCTTCCTGGAACTCCCTTGAGCTGACTCCATAATGATGGAGTTGGGGCAGGGGTGTTGGAATGCATCCTGTTCCTGCACCTGGAACATGCTTTCGAGTCATCAGGGTCACAGAGGCAGGAAATTTCCATTCCTGCTGTACCAAGTCCATCAGCATTACCAGGAATGGTATGGCTACTGGGCCTATGACCTCTTTGTAGACAGTCCCAAAGACTAGGTCCTTAAGCTTTCTCTGGATCCTGTTGTGGGTTAAGTCCCTGACTATGCGCCATCTGCAGGACCTGATCAGAGAATAGCCCCAGTTCTTCTGAAGGTGAGGCTGTGTCTTGAGGGGCCACCGCAGCATCCATGAAAGGCTCAGAGGGCTGGGCTGGTGAGGCAAACTCCAGGTTAAAC